TGAAAATACACTTTAAACTTCCGTTCAGAAATACTCGAACGTGAATAGTTATACACTAGACTGAGAGAAACATACAACAGCGTTCATTTGATAGTAATATACAGATATACACTATTGTAAACTGGCCAGTGACTTAAAGATATACATGGTCATACATTAGTGTTATACGGATAGACACCGTTGTATTCTTAAGTCAAAATCATACGAACATACAACGCCGTGTATTGTACAGGAAAACACTACCATACACTACCATACACTGAGGAACACCATACAAACACATAAAACATCGTTTACCGAAGAAAATACAGGCATACATCGCCTGAAATAAACACCAGTACAAGAGTATACACCGCTGTATCCTAACCAAGTCATACAGAAACACCCTAATGTATGCATACCAGCGACGTATTACGGAACATTACACCAAAAATGTCAGAAACGTCTTACATATAGCTCAACTCTTCGCATAAACTGTTTATCTTTAAGTTTTAAAGAGTCTATACGCTGCACGTTATGACTGGACAAACTCTACGCAAGTGCCGGTAATCTGTGAAGTTTTCATAACTGTGAAGAACAGGGAAAGTTGGCGCCAGTTTATTGGCTAAAGGGAACATCGTCATTCGCCACAATTTGCTCAACTATATATATATATATATGGCAACAAGTGACTTCCTTGGTAAGTTTGAACCTTATGTCAATATATGTAAGTTTAAATGTGATGGTAATTGCGTGATTGCTTAACTGTCGGTGAAGTTAATAGTTATCTATTGTGATTTTTATATATTTTATTTTGTTCAGCTTGAATGTGATTGAGATTCACATTCACATTCAATATTGATTCACTTGATTCACGCTTGTAATTTTAATATGTGAGCTGTGTACATGTTGTGTTCAAGAAAGGCATTTGAACGTGTTCTTTTTAATTTATTCCTTTATATAGGAATATAAGTACATATACAGATTTAATTGCACGGTATTAATTGGAAAGTATTTTAAGCACTTGAACAAGCAACTGAACTTGCACTAATCAGCCGAACACAAGTGGCAACGTTCAGAAACACATTGCCATAATTGATCACATTTCTGTGTTGCCATTCCCAATATCACTCTGCATATCTCCGACACTTTGCAAGATGCAGCTAAGAGCATCACACAAAATGAGCCACAGAGACGTTACAAAGACCTCTTTCAGTGTCAGAGTAGTTAACAAATGGAATGCATTAAGCAGTGATGTGGTGGAGGCTGACTCCATACACAGTTTTAAGGGGTAGAATAGATAGAGCCCAGTGGACTCAAGAATATGTAAATCAGTTGCTTGACGGTTGAGAAGCGGGACCACAGAGCCAGTACAACTAGGTGAATATACTGAGGTTCGAGTCACGACTCGCGCCTTCAAACTCGCATTGAAAAATCAGAATGTGTGGGAGGCAAGTTTTGAGGCAGGTGCTGTGTACAGTCGCTCTTGTTTACGGGACAATCCAAAACCAATAAGTTGGGCTAAGTGTGCCATTGCAAACACTTTCCGGGAAATTTCAGGCGAAAATGAGCAATTTCGTCTCGAACGATCAATTTCACATATTACAAAAAAAATATTTGGATTGTTTCAGGGTAGCGATTTCAAGGAAACGAATTCGAAGTCCGCGTGAAACTGATATTCGGGTACAATATTTCTTTGAAAACACATACCTAAAATCATTATAGTGTGTAAAGTTTCCACTATGAAGAATGCTTAAATGTTGTTGGAATTGTGACAAGTTTGCTGCCAAATGATTCGGGCGCAGCAAGTGTTCGATAAAATTAAATAGCTCATTACTGCAAGCAGTGTAACACTTATGATTTATGTCTGTTGCCAGTAAATCAATTCATGTGTGCGAGTGTGTGTGCTTTCGATAGACTAAGGTCAATTATGTTCAACTAAAGCCACTCTCGCTGCACCTTAAGAGGCCAGAAAGCAGAATTTCAGAATAGTAAAAGTTTGGTCAAAGAGATCATTGACTATCAAGTTAGTTGTACTGAAATTCATAGAGCAGACAATGAATCTTTTCCTGAAAGCTAAGCTTGTATAGTCAACGTTCAAGTAAACGAATTTCTGAGGATGTCAAAAGTTTGACATCCTCAGTGTTTGACATTTAAATGTCAAATGTAGCAACCGTGGCTAATTTAGATAGTAGACATCCAAGAAAATGAAATAGGGGTGGCCAAGGGGACAAGCCTTGAAGTACATGATCTCTCGTTGAATTCAGATTTAACTCCTTTGAAGTCAAAAAGATGCACTCATGTAAGGCAAAGTTACCTCTCCTGGAGAACAGAACGGAACTGTCAGGAGGAAGCCAGAGGCCATTACGACTATATAACACTTGAAAGGAATCAGGATCGGGATTTTAGATAAGACATAGTGATAAGGAATAGTGCCCAACCACTTGGAAGTTCGGGGATTGAACACCGACCTGCATCAAGCGAGACCGTCGTTCTACCGTGCAGTCCAAGTGATTGAGCGTTAGAGCTAATAAGTAGAGCTGACACGTATTGGGCGTGAAGCTATCCAGGAGAGGATGGCTCAATGCACAATACGATGAGAGTACTGAGCTCCCGATGTGTTCTCTGTCAGAACTATTTAACCCACTTTTGGGAGGTTTATGCTCGGCATTTGGCTTTAATTGAGACACGAATTTGTTCCTAACCTTTGCTGAATATTTCATTTGAGTGTTCAAGTTCTCACGTGGCAGTTATTACTCTCCAAACTACCTTTGACACAGATAACATAAAATAAATGCTAGAACAACTGGACTTGTTAGGAGTTAAGGGAAAGCTGTTGAAATGTATCAGGGGACGAGGGAGAGGCCACCTGAGTAACAGAATCGACTTAGTCCTTTTCAAAGGAGTTAAAAGAAATATTTCTGCATCCGTTGAGCTGCATACATCTCAGGGTAAAGCAATTAAGACCCACACTTTTCAGTATTTTGAAGCACAAATTAATATCTGGCTAACCAACACAGTTGACAAAGCTGTTACCTGTTACGTTGATGTCTTTTGCATTGCAACAAATACACAAACTCGACTGCAAACTCTTCTTGATTCTCTTGAAACTGACGACTAAGTATCGATTCAGTCAGTATCGATTCAACGATACTGACGTTGAATAGTCTCATGATCTTTAGAGCGAAATCCATTAATCTTTCATCCCATCAAGATTACCAATTTCCCTCTTTGTATTGAGGTCTTTGTATTACCCACAGGTTTCAGAGTTGATACTGACGTTGTGTACAACATACAGCATAGGCTCAAAGAAAGACTCAAACCTATGAAACTTTTATGTGTAAAAAAATTTGTGTTCCCCATGGTCCTCGTAGCTGCCGAACCATGGACTCAGTTTAGTGGTAGTGCACTGTTGAATTGTCTACTTTGTCAATCCTTCCTCAAGATTTGGTTTATCGTTATCATGTCTCCCTTGTTCCTTCTTTCATACACACTGGTGAGGTAAAGTTCACACAGAATTTCCAGTAAGAAAGTAACTTACATATTGTGACTACATATTTCTGTGAGTAGTCGAAGGTTTAAGGATAGCGTAATGGACTGCTGCGAGGGAGAGTAAGTGAAACATGGGTGGCGGAGTCCGGAGACTTTTATTGCCTACTTTGCTAATGTTATCATGTTGAGAATTTTTGTTCCTTTTGAATTTATTAATATCTTTGTGGTTTTGTTATTTACGCAGTCAGATAGCTGTGTAAACGAGGCACACAGCCGGTTATCCAGCCAGATATCCACTCGGCCAGATAGCTAGGCACAGGCACAGCCAGCTACCTTGCTAACCTTTAAACAAGTAAAAATGTTCACAAAATATTAGGAAATGCCAGGAAATACCAGCATCCAGAAATATGTGTTTTTTTGATTAAATATCCGAATTATTGTGCAAATAACTAAGTAAAATACATGTAAATGTAGGGTAATATCTGTTAATTCCCGATATATGAAATACATTGTTTTCAGAAGAAAGTGTAGAAAATATGTGTGACAGTGAAAGTGTACGAAAAGTTACAAAAAAATGTAAGTAGCATTTTTTAAATCCCAAAGGAACGGGAAGAAGGGTTTTTGAGAACGTAAGTTTGTTCTGAAAATATTTCACGCTTGAGAATTATGTGAAAGAAAAACGTGCTTGAAGTGCTCGATAGGATAAGCCTGCCGTGTGTGTGTGTGTGTGTGTGTGTGTGTGTGTGTGTGTGTGTGTGTGTGTGTGTGTGTGTGTTTGTGTGTGTGTGTGTGTGTGTGCGGGCGTGTGTGTGTGTGTGTGTGTGTGTGTGTGTGTGTGTGTGTGTGTGTGTGTGTGTGTGTGTGTGTGTGTGTGTGTGTGTGTGTGTGTGTGTGTGTGTGTGTGTGTGTGTGTGTGTATGTGTGTGTGTGTGTGTGTGTGTGTGTGTGTGTATGTGTGTGTGTGTGTGTGTGTGTGTGTGTGTGTGTGTGTGTGTGTGTGTGTGTGTGTGTGTGTGTATGTGTGTGTGTGTATGTGTGTGTGTGTATGTGTGTGTGTGTGTGTGTGTGTGTGTGTGTGTGTGTGTGTGTGTGTGTGTGTGTACTCATCGAGATGTGCTTGCATGATCGGGAGTAAACTCTAAAGCCTACTTTAATGCTCTAGTTCGATAGCTCGCTCGCTTGCTCTCCCTAATATATATATATATATATATATATATAATATATATGACCGAATTGTTGTCGTTGTTGATCTTATAGTAGAAGCGTTCTATGCTTCTAGCTATATTCTTACTCTCGGGATTAAGAAGAGTAGTCAAGTTACCTATATTCATGGTAAAGAAACTCTAATGATTATTGAAGGGGTATACCTTTTACAACCTTTCCTTGTACTCTGGAATATCTTCAGGTAAGGAATGAATTGTACAGTATATTCATTCCATAAGTATGCATAAGTACACAGGTTTAATATTAAAATATTCATATCTACCTTTAGACTCCAATATACAGTTTAGAAATTGACGTGAACTTACCTTGCCAAAGTCTGTGAGTCCAAAGTTTTCAGTTTTCTTTGCCTCCGGCGTCTGTGTCTCTATCACAGAGGAAGTCGCCCTGTGGTGGGTAAAAGGGTGGAGGGGGAGGAGTCAGTGGTCAAGATCTGTATATCTTGGCTCTATACTACATCTGTATCCATTATCTTTCTCTCTTGCGTTTAAGGCTCTCTTTTTACTAAATTATCTATCACTCTGTTTCTTTAACTCTCCCTCAGTCATTCTGTTTCTGTCTGTCAGTCTCTGTTTCTCTACAATCTCTTCATCACTATCTCTATCTCGCTCTCATTCTCTCTCATCCTTCACTCTCATTTTTGCCTCTAACAAGTTAAACTGATATCTGCCTTGTAAGCAAATTCTCGCTATCCAGCTAAATGGAAAGTCGGATCATCATCTCATTGTCTATAACGAGCTGAACAGTTACGAGGAGAATACAACGTAGAAAACAGAGGAATGTAGGTAATACAAAATACAACGCTTCTCATAACATCACCTTGTGTGTGGTAAGTTTTTATTTCCAATAATTGCTTGTGCATCAGAAGGTGATTATAATTTGAATTTCGTATGGAATTGCTTTTTCATCATATCACGCACATCAGTATTAAATATATATATATTTATTTACAAAAAAATTGTATTCTATATCAGTAGAAAGAAATTATTGTAATAAATTTTTGGGTTTGTTTCAACTATAATTGAATTCAGAAATTTAAGTTTAACAGTAGAATCACAAATGAATCAGTTTTAGAATTATCTCGGCTCTGTAGTCATTTCAGAGCAGCTCTCTGTTTATCAACGAGTATGATATCAGTAAAATACAATCTGGTTATCAACGAGTATGATATCAGTAAAATACAATCTGGTTATCAACGAGTATGATATCAGTAAAATACAATGCAGAGCATAAAACTAACTATGCCTTGAAATAAAATTATATCTGGTATGAACTCGACAATGGCCGTAATATAAAATAATTAATAATATAATATCCGACAATGGCCCGGCATAAAAGTGTTCCTAACACAAACTCCACTTCCACTATACTCTAAATATTCGCCACGCTGTAGAGAAAGTTACAGCAAAATTCTAATATATATATATATATATATATATATATATATATATATATATATATATATATATATATATATATATATATATATATATATATATATATTACGTATTTGTGCGTGTGTGTACTCACCTAGTTGTATTTTTCTAGTTGTGCTTGCGGGGGTTGAGCTATTAGGCCTGTTAGGTCTATCATATCTACATACAAAACTGAGTGGAATCTGCCTCTACCACATCACTAGCTAATGCCTTCCATTTCCTCAACTACTCTGACACTCGAATAGTTCTTTATAATGTTATTGTGGCTCATTTGGGTACTCCTGTGTTTCCCTTGAACGAGTTGCACCCGTTGGAAACAGTATATTTACCTACCCTACCAATTCTCATCATAACTTTGTATGTGGTAATCATGTCATCCCTAGCTTTCTGTCTTACAGTGACGTGAGGTTTAATTCCAGTAGCCTTTCTACATAGCTCATACCTCTCGTCTGGTGGCATACCTCTGGACTTTCTCTTAGTTTTATGTATGCCATTGATGATATTCTTTTGATAGGGGGTTCATGGGACAAGTTCAGTGTGATGCGGACCCCCAAATCTTTCTCTCTGCTTGATTCTTGGAGGATTTCATTTCCCAATTAATATCTTGTGTATTATACATACTCCACTTGCTCCTTATACATACATTTTTCATTAATGTACACTTGTTAGAGTTAAACTCTTTGTATACATTTGTTCGACTGTTCCCTCAGTTTGTGCAGATCTTCTTGTATTCACTTGATGTTTTCCACTATCATAAACCTTCTCAGAATTTCAGCACCGTCAACATAGAAGGAAGTCTATCCTTTTTGGAAATTAGTTTAAAGATACATCAGAAACAGGAAACATTAGCGTACAATACCATGTGGGATTCCGTTGGTGATATCTTGCCATTCTGAGGTCTCTCTCCACCCCACTCATAGTAACTTGCTGTTTTCTGTTGGCTTAGGTACTCATGTATCCACTGGAGTACTTTACTTATTATTCCTGCCTTTTTCTCCAAATTATGCACGTGCCTCTTATGGGGTACTGTGTCAAAGACTTTCTGACAGTCTTGGAAAATGCAGTCTACCAACCCTTCTGTTTAATTTTTGTCTCTTGGTCATAGAAGTCTATTAAATCTGTGAAGCAGGATTTGCTATCCTGAACCATTGTTTATGATGTATTATAATGCCCTATGCAGACGAGGAGTCACACAATCGACTTGAGAATGGTCCAGGACGGACCGAAACGTCGTCGTCCCTTTACCTGTTAGTGTGTGGTTTGGTCAACATTATAAAGCCCTTTCTCACCAGATGTGTCGCTAACTTTTTCCTCGCTATCTTCTCAATAACCTTTCGTGACTTACAAGTTAGGGACACTGTAGGTCAGTGCCTCCTACCTGTCACCCTTTTGGTATATTGGGAATATGTTAGCCATCTTCCAGTTTTATAATGGGTCACCTGCTTCCAGTGACCTTTTATACATCATAGACTGCATAGACCCCGCGGGGGTTTCTAATTTGACACTACTTATCACTGACTTATTCAGGATGAATATCAGATCTAGTCTATCCAGTTCGTCATTTCCTCTCAGTCTTGTGGGTCTCTTGGCAAGTTGATTTAGAAAGTTTCTCATTACCGCATCCAATAGCTTAGCTCTCCATGTATCTGGGCCTCCATTTGGTTCTCTGTTTTTCCCAGTCTATCTTGCCATGGTTGAAGTCTCCCGTGATTGACAGCCTGGATACATTCCTGTAGGCGATAGAAGCTGCAACTGCTGGTACTCTGATATATTTGTGATAGCCATGATATCATTGTCATACTTCTGTCTTGGTCGTCTTTATTTTAAGGGATTATATGTTATTTCTACTATTATCCCATTGCCACAGAGGCTGTAATGAAGATTCTGAACCTTTCACAGCCCAGAGAAGCAAACCCTTCGAAATTTCAGTACTTCCTTATCATATAAGAACCTCTCTTACTCCTCTTTCTTCTCTCTCTCTTTCCTCACTAAATAATAGTTCTGTGGATACTGTACATGTGCTATGGTGCCTGAAAATTGTGCTTCTTAGTGCTTTTACATCTGAATTCTCTTCTTGTGATCTTTCCCCAAGTTTGCCTATTGTATTTGTAGTCCCATCTGAGTACATTACCTTGAAATTCCTTTCTGTCCATTCTCACTTACTCTTCTCCCCCACATTGCAGGCCTTTCCTCTGGAGTAGGAAGTTGTTCGGTGGGTGGGGCTGATTGGATGGGGTTGTTGTCCTGTGAGATAGTTGACAGGGGTTCGGAGAATGAGGAGGTAAAGGGTGAGGGTCAAGGGAAGTGGGGACATTGAGGGCCTGGAAGGAGAAGGGAGGTGGTTAGGGGGCATTGGATAGGGGGAGAGAGAGGGCTTGGGGTTGAGGAGGGTTTTGGGGTGGAAGGTGAAGGTGTTGCGCTTCTCTGCGGGTCACTGAACTGCTGGTGGAGGGTACCCCACTCCCCTTTGGAACGACTGGGTTGAGGACTATAGTTCATTCGGTTTCCTTCTCTCTCCCTGTGCCTCTTTCTTGCATCTGCTGCCATGATCCTCCATCCATCTCTACCTCCTTCAGGATCTTTGCCACTGCAACTCTCTCCGTAGAATTCCCCTCTTCTAGACTTGGGCATTCTTGTCCGTAATACCTACTAAGACCACGGCTCTTTTACTCTCCTGCAGCTAACTAGTGTACCTTGCTGTTTCCTTTGAAGGGGCTGCTTTCATGACAACTTCTTTCACTTTGGACGTGGCTTGTGTGTGTGTGTGTGTGTGTGTGTGTGTGTGTGTGTGTGTGTGTGTGTGTGTGTGTGTGTGTGTGTGTGTGTGTGTAGAGATGTTTATCTATGCAAAACACTTGATGATCTGCCTAAATCTCTACTGACTGATCTCTGTTTCCATCGTTCGCTATTCAAACACCATTGTCGTTCTAATTCATTTACAAAGAAAGATAAGAGACTCTCGGAAACACAAACAAACACAAACACACAAGTATGTGATTATAAAGACATACCAACACTCACAAAATGACACACACACAAAATATAAACAAACACCCACATACACACACGCAAACACACGCACCAGGGAGTGTTACAGGTGTGGGTGAGCGTGAGATAGCGGACTCCAAGCTCGTACATCATTCTGAGAGAACCGAAGCTGTTACTGATGCCGTGGCCTCCCTCGATAGCGATCAGGCTCGCTATCTTTCCCTTCTTGAACACGGATTGGATGTCTGAAACGAAGAAGAAAAATGGAGTTACGCGCTTAACAGTCATTGGTGGGGGAGAGAGGGAGATAGATAGGGAGAGAGGCTCGAGATGGGATATGTTTTGAGTGCACAATGGATGGGAGTGTGTGTTTTGAGTACACAATGGATGTGTGTGTGTGTTTTTTGAGTGCACAATGGATGTGTGTGTGTTTTTTTGAGTGCACAATGGATGTGTGTGTGTTTTTAGAGTGCACTAATGGATGTATGTGTGTTTTTTGAGTGCACAATGGATGTGTGTGTTTATTTAGTGCACAATGGATGTGTGTGTGTTTTTTGAGTGCACAATGGATGTGTGTGTGTTTTTTTGAGTGCACAATGGATGTGTGTGTTTTTTTGATGCACAATGGATGTGTGTGTTTTTTGAGTGCACAATGGATGTGTAATGTTTTTTGGAGTGCACAATGGATGTGTGTGTGTTTTTTGAGTGCACAATGGATGTGTGTGTGTTTTTTTAGTGCACAATGGATGTGTGTGTGTTTTTGAGTACACAATGGATGTGTGTGTGTGTTTTTTGAGTGCACAATGGATGTGTGTGTGTTTTTAGAGTGCAATAATGGATGTGTGTGTGTTTTTTGAGTGCACAATGGATGTGTGTGTGTGTTTTTTTAACGATGTTTAGGGAACGTTTGAAGGATTTATGTCAATTTTTACGTTTGTGTTGATTTTGGGCTTTGTTAATGCTGTGAGGCTTGGGTATGCATGGGTTGTGAGTTTAGTGGATGGTGAGTAATGGGTTTGGGTTGTGAGTTTAGTGGATGGTGAGTAATGGGTTTGGGTTGTGAGTTTAGTGGATGGTGAGTAATGGGTTTGGGTTGTGAGTTTAGTGGATGGTGAGTAATGGGCATGGGTTGTGAGTTTAGCTGGTGAGTAATGGGCATGGGTTGTGAGTTTAGCTGGTGAGTAATGGGCATGAGTAATGTTAGACACGTATACTTGAAATACAAATGTAATAGTTGATTAATGTTTATAGATCTTGACATTTTATGGAGGCATCAGTTCACAATATTACTTTGACATTTGTACACGAGAATAAAAATCCTCCCTTTTTTTTTACTATTATTTGGTGCTGTTTTACGACAATTTGATATTACACATTTGCTTAATGTATTGTTACTAATAGTTACGTTCTGTCATATTTGTTAAGAGTTTGTAGGTGCGTGTTCAACCTATATACCAAAGTTGCAAGGTTGAGTGCTAACTCTTGAGCCCCGCCTTACCAGTTATCGGTTATCTAATGTAGTGATTCTTGGTCGCCCCTTATAATCCATTTTAGTTAACAATATATCGTTAAATAGGTTCTTCACCGTCTTCACGTGTCTTATCTGTGTCTTATCAGTTGTTCCATCCAGCATTATAACGAGGCACGGTAAATATCAAGAGGAAGTACTAATTAAGCCATTACGACCATTTAGCACTTGAAAAGGATACGAGGATTACGATTTGGGATAAGACGGAGGGAAGGGAATGTTGCCCAACCAATTGGACCTTCGGGGATCAAACGCCGACCTGCATGACGAGAGATCGTCTCTCTACCGTCCAGTTCAAGGGGTTGGGCAGCACTGATGCGAATTTGTTATTTTTATCAATCTAATTGGAAACCATTAAATATCTTAAATGCCGTACTCAAGTGGGCATGCTTCAGTTTCTCTTCTAGTGGAGAAAGGGTCTAATCTCTTAATGTTTCTTCATAGTTTATTCTAAACAATTCTTATCCAAGCCACATTGTATCCTTCCTGACGTGTGTGTGTGTGTGTGTGTGTGTGCGCGCGTGTGTATGTGTTAGCGTGCGCGTACGAGTGATAAACTCTCTGCTAATACATTAGATGTATTACCTACATAAGATGTGTCTACATATGTGGCGATGGCACATAAAGTGAAGATAAACAACCAATATCTTGCGACACCTCACACACCTGTACCTAACGAACACACCCCCCCCCCACACACACCTGTACCTAACGAACACCCCCCCCCACACACCTGTACCTAACGAAAAAACCCCACACACACACCTGTACCTAACGAACACCCCCCCACACACACCTGTACCTAACGAACACCCCCCCCACACACCTGTACCTAACGAAAAAACCCCACACACACACTTGTACCTAACGAACACCCCCCCCCCCCACACACACACATTTGTACCTAACGAACACCCCCCCCACACACACACTTGTACCTAACGAACACCCCCCCCCCACACACACACACACTTGTACCTAACGAACACCACCCCCCCACACACACACACTTGTACTTAACGAACACCCCCCCCCCACACACACACACTTGTACCTAACGAACACCCCCCCCACACACACACCTGTACCTAACGAACACCCCCCCCCCCCACACTCACACTTGTACTTAACGAACACCCCCCCCACACACACACACACTTGTACCTAACGAACACCCCCCCCCCACACACACACACTTGTACTTAACGAACACCCCCCCCCCACACACACACACACTTGTACCTAACGAACACCCCCCCCACACACACACACACTTGTACCTAACGAATACCCCCCCCACACACACACCTGTACCTAACGTACACCCCCCCCACACACACACACACCTGTACCTAACGAACACCACCCCCCACACACACACCTGTACCTAACGTACACCCCCCCCCCCACACACACACATGTACCTAACGAACATCCCCCCCACACACACCTGTACCTAACGAACATCCCCCCCACACACACCTGTACCTAACGAACACCCCCCACACACACCTATACCTAACGAATACCCCCCACACACACCTGTCCCTAACGAACACCCCCCACACACACCTATACCTAACGAACACCCCCCCACACACACACACACCTGTACCTAACGAACACCCCCCCCCCCCCACACCTGTACCTAACGAACACCCCCCACACACACCTGTACCTAACGAACAGCCCCCCCCACACCCGTACCTAACTAACCCTACACACACACACCTGTACCTAACGAACCCTACACACACACCTGTATCAGTCAAATGTGATGAACCAGCATCATTTATCCTCCCCAACGCCTCATCCCAAAAGCCAAACTCTCTCTTTATCTTCCCTCGTATTTTATATATATATATATTTTTTCACGCTCCTTTCTCGGGTTTATCGGGAAGTGAAGCTCTTCTCTCCGATGCTTCTCCTCGCCAGGAACTAGTTTCATGGGCTCTTCCTCTTCCCCATTTTCTCTTCACGGGCCTGCATGACCTCTGTAAATATTCGCTGATACCGTGAATGGTGAATTTTACGGCGAAAACTTTTGATATTAGCGAGAGAAGAGAGCCTTGGTATATATGTTTATGTCTGATGTTGAGTTACATATTTTTGTTCGGTGTGTGATTTGTGTGTGTGTGTGTGTGTGTGTGTATATATATATATATATATATATATATATATATATATATATATATATATATATATCTGAATCTGTGGAAACATTCTGGTCTTTAATTCCTGCGCTCTTTAATTACGAGAGTAATTACGGAAGTATTTGATGATTAAAGTCGCGAAGACAGGAAAGAATGACTCCCTGGGCAGATATTTTTTCCCCCTAATTTTCCTGGATTTTTGGACTCGACTTCACACCACGGGAAACCCAAAACAAAATAGTCATCTTCGTATTTCTAATTTCGACATTTACTTGAATTTCCGCTAATTTTTCATGTTGTTTTCATTATAGTAACTGGTTGTGGAGAAAGTGCAGCCAAGTGTGTAGGTTAGGTTAGGTTAGGTTAGGTTAGGTTAGGTTAGGAGATTGCAAATTGCATTGCAAATGTTTGGTTTTGAGACTGGAAAGTTACGTAATGTTGGGATGGTGTTGGATAGAATTATATGTACCAACTGTGGTGACGAGAATAGAATATGGAATAGTGTGGGGGGGGGAGGGTGTGTGGATTTGACTTCGCCACAAGCAGAGATCGAGGAAATAGTGAAGTCTAGCCCTCAGATGATGCTGTGTATAAATTACATTTTCCTGTTAGTAGTGAGAGAGGAGAGCAGGCCTTATGGTTCTGGCTGTGAGATAAGGTCCTGACCTCACAGTAAGGACACCACGTGGATCCTCACTGTGAGGAAGCCTGATCGGACCTGCACTCTGTATTGATAGCAAAGCTCAAGGTACTAGGCATCTCAGGCTCTATTTTAGAGCTAATAAAAATGAACCACTTTCAAGAATGGACTCTAAGAGAAGTCCTCAGTGGAGCAGAGTCCGAAAGTCACTCTACTGGTGTCAACGTTCAATAAGATAACGAGCTTGGCCCTCTGTTGTTGAACGTCTATTTCAAGGATATACTACACCTCATTCCTAAAGGTCAAGTCTATACTGACGACTGTACTCCAACCTTCTTATTCCTTCCCTCATTCCCTCTCTCATCTTCTAATTCTCTGATTCCCTTTCACTAATTCTTTCTCTCTGATGCATAAAATATTCAGTCATGCAAGGAAGATCATTAATACAGTCAGTTATCCTCACACACAGTTTCAAATGTAGATATGATAAGAGCCCAAAGGATTCAGGAATCTGTACATCGGTTGATTGAATGTTGAGAGGCGGGACCAAAGAGCCGAAGCTTAACCCCCGCAAGCACAACTAGGTGAGCGCGTACACACACACAAACACGCACATGAGGCCAGACACAGGATAAAGAATGGGAGATGAAGTACATCAAGAAACGGACAGAAAGATTTAGTTGATATCACACCAAACCTGTCTCCTGAAGCCCACATAAAAAGAATTACATCTGTGGCATGCGCGAGACTGACTAACTTCAGAACTGCCTTCAGGAACCTGTGTAAGGAATCATTCAGAACCTTGTATACCACATATGTAAGACTTTAATTTTTGGGCTCCATGCATGCTCCAATCCTGGAGCATGCATGGAGCCCGTACCTTGTCGAGCACAAGACGAAGCTGGAAAAAGCTCAGAGGTATGCCACTAGGCTAGTCCAAGAACTAAGAGGCATGAGTTACGAGGAAAGGCTGCGTGAAATGCACCTCACGACACTGGAAGACAAAACAGTAAGGGGAGACATGATCACTACCTACAAAATTCTCAGAGGAATTGACAAGGTAGATAAGGATAACCTGTTTAACTCGGCTGGAGACAAACAGCCGAGTTAACTAAAAGAGACAAACTCTTTAGCACAGGTGGGACACGAACAAGGGGACACAGGTGGAAACTGAGTACCTAAATGAGCCACAGGGACGTTAGAAAGAAGTTTTTCAGTGTCAGAGTAGTTAACAAGTGGAATGCATTAGGCAGTGATGTGGTGGAGGCTGACTCCATACACAGTTTCAAATGTAGATATGACAGAGCCCAGTAGGCTCAGGAATCTGTTCACCAGATGATTGACAGTTGAGAGACGGGACCAAAGAGTCACAACTCCACCCTCGCAAGCATAACTAGGTGAGTACAACTAGGTGAGTACACACACACACCTTTAACATATTATCGCCAATAAAAATATTTCTGGAAATCAACCGAAAACATGTTATGAAAAAATTAAAGTGTATATTGGTGTTAAGCCCAAGATAAACGAGGGAATAAAGCGAGAGGGGAAAGGGAAACCGGCAGATAATGAGAGAAGAGTGGAAGAAGAGAGGGGAGAGAAGAAGAAGAAGAAGCAGTAGTAGTGAGTAAGGGGACACAGGAGCAATAGAAATTGGCAAGGAAATAGGAGTAAGGAGAGATAAGAATTTTAGGATATGAGGGAAGGGGAGATGAACAGATGCTCAGTGGGAAGGGAAGAGAAAAATAAAGACGAGGAGGGAACGGCTGTGAAGGAAAAGGTGGAGGGAGAGATGGACGGTAGAGGTGTAGGAAGGAAATGGTGGGAGGAAGTTAAGGTTTGATAGGGTTATCTTGAGATGATTTCGGGGCTTTTTTTTTAGTGTCCCCGCGGCCCGGTCCTCGACCAGACCTCCACCCCCAGGAAGCAGCCAGTGACAGCTGACTAACACCCAGGTACCTATTTTACTGCTAGGTAACAGGGCCATTGGGTGAAAGAAACTCTGCCCATTGTTTCTCGCCGGCGCCTGGAATCGAACCCGGGACCACAGGATCACATGTCCAGCGTGCTGTCCGCTCGGCCGACCGACCTCCCCAATTGTGGTGTGTGTGGACGAAAGGGATGGACGAAAGACAGACAGACACAGAGACACACTACACACACACACACACACACACACACACACACACACACACACACACACACACACACACACTCCATACACAGTTTTAAATGTAGATATGATAGAGCCCAGTAGGCTCAGGAATCTGTACACCAGTTGATTGATAGTTGAGAGGCGGGACCAAAGAGCCAGAGCTCAACCCCCGCAAGCACAATTAGGTGAGTACACACACACACACACACACACACACACACACACCACAACGTTCCGTTAGTGCCAACGAGAAGGACATAACCAACACAGCCCCATAGAGACACCAGGAGTGCCACCTTCCAAACACACACACACACACACAAGGTGCCAGGCACAAACACCCATAACATCCACTCAACATGACACCTCCTCCTCCTACCTCAGCACGAGGGGCTCTAAAAAGAAGCACGAGGGCTCTAAAAAGAACATTCTCTCTTTATGGCTGATGTAAACACAGAGGCTGAGATTTGTCGCAGACGCCAGAACCAGTCACTTCGTGTTCACTTCGGAAGTGAACACTGACTTCGAACGGGCCAAGAAAGTGGGAGTATACGGTGGTGAATTCGATACAGCAGAGCAGCGAAGTTGACCATATCGTCAACACTTCAGTGCTGTATGAGAACACTCTGGTTCTTCTCCTCAATTGCTGAAGAAATCTGACTTAATTGTTACTGCCACGTCTGGGAAAAAAACACCAAATAATGGGTATTCAAAGCGACCTGTTTGTGAATCTTTGGAGTTCATGGCTAGGAAGCCTGTGTTCAATGTCTGGAAGCCTTTGGTGTTCAATGTAAGACAATGATTAGTGTTAGGAAGCTCTTGATAATCAAAATATTGAAGCCAATGATCAACGTAACTTTGACTATTTAATGTTAGGAAAGTCCATGGGATCATTGTAAGTAAGCCTTCGATGATAGGGGGGTTGAGCAGAGGGATGAATAGGGGGGGCGGGGAAAAGGTGTAAAGAGGGAGGAATGTGGTGATATTGGAATGAGGGGGTGAGGGAGGGGGTTCGAAGCCGAGGGCGTCAGTGCTCTTGTCCTGAGTTTAAAGTGTCCGTCATAATTATTGATTTTCCATTACCGCTCCACAGAAGGACACCGCTGCTATGCCCACACGTTTCAGGGAAGAGTAGAGGAGGAAGAGAAATATAGAGATAGACAAAGGGAAAAGAAAAGCAAACACAGGCATACAGAGACAGAAAACAGACATGAAGAAACACTAACAGACAAAGATATTGTTATATACATATGTCTTAACCTAAGAGCGCCTTACCATACTGTACCGAGACATGTGAAACTCTTCACTACCTTCCTGAGTTGCTACCTGACTGGAATAGATTTGATAAATGTCTCCGAATTTAACAACTTAAAAATCAATAACAAGTAAGCAGGCGATGAGTCACAGTAACGTGGCTAAAGTATTTTGACCAGACCACACACTAGAAGGTGATGGGACGACGACGTTTCGGTCCGTCCTGGACCATTCTCAAGTCGATTATCGACTTGAGAATGGTCCAGGACGGACCGAAACGTCGTCGTCCCTTCACCTTCTAGTGTGTGGTCTGGTCAACATACTTCAGCCACGTTATTGTGACTCATCACCTGCTTATGAGGGAAAATGCCTGTTTGTCATGTCTGAAGCCAGACGCTAGGGGCTAGCCTCTCCCAATTTTGCAGGGAAATGGTCTGAGGTAAAGGACATACATAGGATGGCCGTAGTCATCAGAATTCAAGTAGGAACAGCGTGCCAGGGTCACACTCTGACTCTAACGGTGATTTTTGGCACCGCTACATGTAGCTAAATATCTCAAGAGTCCTAAAAAAAACAATAACATCTATTTCCTTGAAGGAAAAAATACTTAGAATAAATAATCCGAAATTTCCTGACAATAGACAGCTCATTAATTATTAAACAAATTTATTATATAATTTCCCAGAAATTGTGCTAATCACTGGTTGTTTAAAGGGGAAATAATTATGTTACATCTTGTGATTGAATGTTTGTGCAGTGTTATACTTAACTAAATAGTTAGCCTATTAGTTAACTTAGAAGGTAAACTAGTAGTTATCCTAGAAGGTAACCTAGAAGGTACCCTAGTGGTTAAACTATTAATTAACTTAGCCTAATTAGCTTAGTAGTTAACTCAGTTCTTAGCCTCGCATTAAGAATAGTAATTAACCTAGTTAAAACCTATTATTTAACTTAAAATTAGCCATGGGGGCCTATTTTGTATTCTGTATTGCTGCACCAGAAACTTGATCGAATCCGTCCAATTGGTATCAACAACTATTACAGCAATACAGAATTCGACGAAATCGTTAGAAGCTAGACCGTCATCTGACCGACTATAATCAGGCCCCAGGGATGGAAAATCGTCCCCCCTAGAGAAGACATCGTAGTGTATTATAAAAATACATTCACTCAGGCATACAAGAAGGATGAGAAGGTGGTACGAGACATAATTGACAGGAATTGTAAACCTTGCAGTGAAAACGCAAGGATTCGACCTGTCATTTAACGTAAGAACCCTTGTGCATCTTTCCCTCATTTGCAAGATGGTGGTTTTAAGCAACAATGGGCAGAGTTTCTTTCACCTTAGGCCCTGTTACCTAGCAGTAAAATAGGTACCTGGGTGTTAGTCAGCTGTCACGGGGTGCTTCCTGGGGGTGGAGGCCTGGTCGAGGACCGGGCCGCGGGGACACTAAAGCCCCGAAATTATCTCAAGATAACCTCTCAAGATAAGCAATATCAATCTCAACACCACAACACCATCCTGAATCGCCAAGACATTGTAAAACATACGACAATAATCCCACACACTGACGACCGAAGGAGGCTTCGTGTGCTTGAGGCTGTGTTCACTCGGGAGTTGACACCAGTAATCAACATCCAGATCAATTCGACTATGAGCATACAACTGTTCGATGGTCCTCCATTGACCCAGAGGGAAGATGTAAGACCTGGCGGACAGCTAGAAGCCGGAGTCAGGCAGCAATCACCTCACTCTACCGAACAAATCCACAAGGGCCGTGACGAGGATTCGAACCTGCGTCCGGGAGCATCCCAGACACTGCCTTAATCCACTGAGCTACGACAGGGTACACCTCACTCTACCATTCGTCGCTCTCTACGATTAAGGGGGGACAGGTGCATCGTAGAGTGAGGTGTCCCCCACACTTACTAATGTCTAAATTTTTCCTTGTAAGCTGAAAAGAATTACTGAACAAAAAAAAAATTGTACCACTTACGGGCTATTCATGCCCGTGCCACCTCTTGGGTGGCTTAATCTTTAGCAGTTATCCATCAATCTTGTAAGCAGCAGCAGACACATGAGCCCCGCTCCTGTGCCAGGTAAGTACACTACGGGCTCACCATAGCCCGTGCTACTTGGAACTTTTTGTTCCAAGTAGCGAATCTTTAACAACAACCTTGTAAGCACTTTAGACTCGAGTACTGTGGCCAGTAACCGGTTCCAGGAATGTTATCATCACTAGCTTAGCAAGTTAATCACCGGAGTTAACAACCCACTTACAAAAATTTTTAAGGCATAATATGTTACCCAATAACTCGGTATATAAGTTAATAACCATTTTAAACTACATGTAACTCGCTAATTAATAAACAGCTAAAACTACTGATAAGAGATGAATGGCACGCACCTTGTGAATTAGTGACCAGTTCCAGGTATTGACTGTACTTCTTAATGACCCGTTTGATGAGGTCAATTTGCTCTAAGGTCAACTGCACAGCATTCTGGTACTGCGATGCGCAGGGTGTGTAGGCTACCCAGAACTG